TCAGTATTTTTCCCTTCATTTTTCTCTCCTTTTAAAATAGTGTCTTCAAAAAAATGATTGCATTGTATAATGTTGAATGCACTAATTATCCTGATTTGAGCATCACATATTGCACACAGATATTGATATTCAACTCTGTACCCTACAGATGCATACAATCAACTATGTTTCAATTAAAAAAGAAAGGCCAAAAATAATAAAATAAAATAAAAAATAAAATAAAATAAAATAAAATAAAATAAAATAAAATAAAATAAAAATGTCTCTTTCCATCAAAGCATCAAGGAATTGTAGGGAAACAAAGGAGGAAAATATATTGGAAGATCTACAGTCTCATTAGATGCGATATAATTATGGTTGGACCACTTCTCTTTGATAAATTGGGGTTTCAGAAACTAATTAAGGTTGTAGTTCTTCACACTCTAATCCCCAATTGCCATGGAATTGTGTACTTGAAATGTTACTGTACAACTATAAGGAAGAAAACTCATAGAATTCCAATTATATACAATAAACTGAAAAAACATTTTTGTTTAAGTCACTGGGCAGTAGGCCCTGCTGACAACTCATCATCTGAAGGGGGTAGAAATTAATTTTAAAATATTTGGCTCATTAAAATAGCATGACTTGATATGTAGTTTAGGATTGTTTCCTTTGCTAAATTGCAGAGGAAAGCATGGAGAAGGAGCATGACTTTGGGGATATTGCCTTAAGGGACGGAGACTTGAGAAACAAAATATAGCTTTTCCCCCAATTTCTCTCTCTCTCTTTTTAAAATCACACCTAACCATAAACTAACCTATGCGCTTTTGCTCTTAAATTTCATACTTTTTTCTTCTTAGGACCACCCTAAGAAAAACTATGCAATAGATACTATTTTATGATTTTTTTTTTCTTATAACAACTAGTATCTTCACACTTTCCCTCCTCACCAACTCATTTTCCTATGAAGCCAACCAGGCTGTGCTATGTGGGCCAGCCCACCCTCTGTACAGGTAGGACAAAGCTATCTGCAGACAGGGAAGTGAGTATCCCTTCCACCTCTCTTCCATGAACCCTGAGGGTCAGTTTGGGAGGAAGACCTGGATCCAGTGCATAGAACAGAGCTTAGAGATCGAAGAGGCTACACGTAGGGAAAAACTGAAACCAAATCTGGGCAAACGACACAAACCAGTCATGATTCCAAAGGGGATGATAAGGCTGAGAGATTGGATCTAGGTGTGAGGCAATAGGGTGACTGGAGCCTGGGGAAGCCAGATGAGAACTACAGGGTCCAAAACATAAAGTGGGAGGTGGGGCCTGGGATAAAGATGAGCTTGGATGCTCTTAATGGATGGTGAGAGTGCCCCTAAGGGGTCTGTTTGGCTCATCCTACCTATCCCATCTGTGCTCATACAGTTATAAATTCTCAGCTCCAAACCCATCTGTCTTTTTTCTTCTTCTTTTTTTTATATTTACACAATGTAAACATTTTTTGTGGCCCTTTACCAATTTCTCCCTAAACCACCACTGCTTTCCTACCTCTTGTGGCCTCAGTTCCATTCTTTCCTTAGCCAGTCATCTATTGATGGACATTTAGGTTGGTTCCAACTCTCAGCTATTGTAAATAGAGCTATGATAAGCATGCAGTAGCCCTTCAACATGTTGAATTCCACTGGGTATACAGCAGTAGGATTGCTGGGTCATATGGCAGTTCTATCTGTAGTTGTTTGAGAATACTCCATACTGTTTTCCATAATGGCTGCACTAATTTACAGTCCCACCAACAGTGTAGGATGGTTCCCCTTTCTCCACATCCTCACCAGTATTTGTTATTCTCTGTCTTTTTGATAAGGACCAGTCTAACTGAGATAAAATGATATCTCAGTGTGGTTTTGATTTGCATTTCCCTGGTGCTTAGTGATGTTGAGCATTTTTTCATGTATCTGTTGGCCATTTGTATATCTTCTTTTGAGTAATGCCTTTTCAGCTCTTTTGCCCATTTTTTAATCCAGTAACTTGTTTTTTTTTACTGTGAAGTTGTTTGAGTTCCTTGTGTACTCTGGATATTAATCCCTTGTTGAATGCACAGTTTGCAAATATTTTCTCCCATTCTGTAGGTTCTTTCACTCTGTTAACTGTTTCTTTGCTGTGTAGAAGCTTTTTAGTTTGATGTGATCCCATTTGTTTATTTTTTCTTTAGTTGCCTGTGCTTTTGGGGTCTTATTCATAACGTCTTTACTCAGTCCTACTTCCTGAAGTGTTTCCCCTGTATTTTCTTTTAGGAGTTTTATAGTTTAGGGTCTTATATGTAAATTTCTAATCTACTTTGAATTGATTTTGATATATGGCAAGAGGTACAGGTGTAGGTTCATTTTTCTATCTATGGATATCCAGTTTTTCCAGCACCATTTATTGAAGACCCAGTCTTTTTCCCAGTGTATCTTCCTGTTGCCCTTGTCAAATAAATGTTGGCTATAAGTATGTGGGTTGATTTCTGGGTTCTTTATTCTGTTCCATTGGTCCAACTGTCTGTTTTTGTGCCAGTACTATGCTGTTTTGTTTACTATAGCTTTGTAGCATAATTTGAAGTCAGGTTGTATAATTCCCCTGGCTTTGGTTTTTTGTTTGTTTGTTAGTTTTTTGCTTAGGATTGCTTTGGCAAACCCATCCTTCTATAATCAGCTCTGAGATGCTTGGCTGGGGCCTTACTGACTACATTTCTCCTTTGCCAGCTGTTTCTCTTTTAGGCTCAGCCCAGAGGGGGAGCTAGTGAGAAACTGCTAGGCAGGAGGTGAGAGAGGGATTTGCTCCTTCCTATTCCTGTCAGCCTTGGCAGGGAAAGTTGATTTCAATTTTTTCCCCACATTCCTCTGAGGCACCTGTGTACCTTCCATAGGAACTGGGTCTCAGCTCTCTCTTCCAAGCTTCTATGTTCTAATAACCCCAACCTCTTCCCTTTGTTCCCCCAGCCTAGAATGGTAGCTGCCTCCTGCCATCAATAGGTCTGTGTTATTTCAATGTCTTCTTTTTGCTTTTTCAGTCCTCCAATATCTTTTTAACTGACTCCTTATATTAAATTCTCTCTGTCAAAGTAACTAGTGTGATTTCTATTTCCCTGACTGGATCCTCACTGATACTGAGCCCCAGGGTCAATTCTGTTTTGTTTAAGGTAGAGAACCCACCCTCTTCTTTGTCTACATTCACTGAGTACCTGCTATGGAATTGTGCTGGGTGGGCTCCTTTCATCCTAACAGTCCAGTGATGTTACTGCTATCCCCACTTTACTTCTGGTAGCTGATCCTCAAGGAAGTTATGTCATTTCCCCAGAGTCACACAGTTCATGCCAGAACTTGATTCAAACCCAGGTTCATCTGACTTCCAAGCCCTCCTCTTTGAATTCCAACTCGCTGACTGCTGCTCCTGCCTGTGTCCCTGTTTCCCTCCTTCTACTCTTCCATCATCTACTCCTCCTTTTCTGAGTGGGGCAGTTGGAGATGGATGAGTCCTGGGGCAGAGAAAAAGAAGGGCCCCAAGTGCCCATGAAAGATGGACGAAGGAGAGGATATTTAGGCCGCAAAAGCAGAGTCCACTGAGATGAGGAGAATCCATGCACACAATGCCTGGGGCGAGAGTGTACCCTCAATCGTGAAAATATCAGGCCAGGAAAGACGGCACTGGCTGGGAATGCTATAGATGAAAGCCAAAATGGGGTAAACTTGGGCAGCAGGAGCTACCACTTTGAAATTTTTGCCTCTTTTTAAAAAAGGTTTAGACAACCTAAGAAAGATTAAGCCACAAGGAAAAAGAGTTCTCTTTAGCATTATCCTAATACCTTCTATTTGCAAATCTTTACAATACATGGAGCACTGTACAGTTTAAGGCATTATGTCATCTGACAGCACAACACCTTTGTGGAATTGTTTACCTTGCTGATATTCTGGTTCTTATAATGATGTTTCCCTTTTCACTTTTACTGCTAGGAAGCTCAGGGTCCAGTGAGTAGTCCACATTTATCAAATGAGGAGAACTTTATGGCATCACAGCTACAGTCATTTTCCTCACTTTATCTGTGATCATTTTATTTCAACTTATTTTATCTTATGCTGTATACAGCTTTGTAAATATCCTCAAAATCTTTTGAAAAAAATTCCAGAATATTTCTACTTCTTCATCTATACATTCATCTATAACTTCTACTCTACCTCTGTCCATACTTCATTTTTCCTGCCATTTTTCTCTCATTTATATGAGGTTGAAGTACCCTCAGAAAAAAGTTCTATAAAAGTTCATGGAAAGATTTGTATTATCTTTTAATTCTATTTTTCCACAGATTTCTTGAAGTACCTTCATACTCCCATCTATACCTTTATCTACATCGATAATTGTGAGGGAGACAGGGACAGTCAAACTCTGCCTTTGTAGTTTTCCAGTTGTGTGTTTTTAACCCAAATTTGAATATGAATGCATTATTATGAAGCTTTTGACATAAAGTGGTTCACCTCTGGTCTTGGAAACCTCCACTGAGTTTCCATGAGAAAGCCACTCATTGACAGACATACTAATGGGCTTGTGAAATAGAACCCAAAACTTAAAAAGTTCTAACCCATCAAAAAATCCCATTCATCTTTTCATTTTTTGGAAAGGATATAAAAAATGAAATGTCAGAGCTATAATGTCAAGACCGTTTAAAATGTCAAGTGCTTGTTGTTGCATAGCCTAGCTGTCTGCTGTTTTGATCAAACCTCCAACTGGCATAATAATTACAGATGATACATCACATTTTCATGCACAACTGGACCCAGATTTATAACAAATCAGATGGAAACATTCTCACTACCCAGCCTGTAGTTTTCTCCTTTTACTAAGTAGCTCAAGACTTTTCCTTCGGAGCAGAGCATTATTACTAATTCAAGACAGCATTTAGGGTAAGGGATGAGAAATAAGGGTAAAAAGAAAGTTTCTCAAATAGACCAGATGTGACAAGAGCCAAGAAACAGCAAACATATTTTCCAAATGCATGTTTAATCCAGGAATGGTAAATTGTGGAAACACTTCCCAGATAATCCATTTCTATTTCAAGATGCAGACTAATTTAAGTGCACAAGGAAACATACATGCAAGCTATAATTTGAACTGATAGGTATGGAGCCAATCCTACAGATTAATCATCATGTTTTAATCTTCAGAGAGAGCACTAATGTACAAACAGAAAAGCAGCAATGTATCTGTTTAGGACCTTTATGTAAATCTCTATTGGATTAAAATAAATGCTGTATTCATTACTCTATGTCAATTATAATAAAAACCTGAAATCAACTGCACGTACATGGGGAAGATTTCATTTTTTGTCTGCTGAAGGTTTTGTGCTCACTGAAAGCTGGGAAAGGCATTCTCACAGCTTCTTCATTTCCACCTTTCCTAGAACAGGCCTGATAGGTGGTTCAGAGGAGTCACTCTCCAGTGTTTGGCTCCTTCCCATTACAGATTACTTTCAGCATGTCTGAAAGGTCGAAGCTCTTGGAAACAATCTCTAGGAGATCCTGATCTTTCTCCATGCCATTGATAAATTCTTCTAAAGTCAATTCTCCTGAAAAATAATAAATGAACAATTAACAAGAGGCTTTTTCCATATCACTCAAATGACACATATAATACATTCACTGGGATTTTTATTGATATTCTTTTGATGTTCTCTCACCTCAGTCAGACTCTAAGATCTTTGAAAATATTTATATAAGAAAGCATTCAGTGGTGGGATTGCCAGTGAAAATAAAGATGATGAATATGATCTATTTGTATTTTTGGTTGAGAACATCAGATAATGCACCTGATGAAATAAAGGCACGCATACATTTACATTTCAATACAGGATTGGTTATTTGACCTTTAGTCTTGAAGATATGACCAAGTCATAGGAGCATGACAGGTTGCAGTTTTTTCAGTTCAGGAGGGAATAACTGCTCACAAGTCTGTTTTCTTTCCTTTTTTTCTTTTAAGAAATTTATTTTTAATTGAAATGTATTGATTGTACATATTTTTAAGGTACAGAGTTATATTTCAATACATGTATACAATCAGTAATGACCATATCAGTGTAGTTAGCAAATTCATCAATGCAAAACCTTATTTTTTCTTTGTGATGAGAATATTTGAGTTTCTCTCTTCTAGCCATTTGAGAACATACAATAAATTATTGTTAATTATAGATACCTAGCATTTCTGTACACCACTAGAACTTATTTTTCCTGTCTAGCTGTAATTTTGTGTCACAAAGCTATTTTCAATAGTTTTCTTTCTGAGGAAATAATTCCAGAGACTGTCCAAAGTTCCATATTCCATTTATTATTGGTGACTAATTTTCCTTTCCTTTTCTGGCTTTTGATTCCTAATTTTATCACCTTGACTTAAGCCTTGGGCCCATGCTGATTCACAGCCCAGTGCTGTAAGTCTATCGCCGTATGCCCGCGTGTACTGGCTGGCATGTTATTCTACTGCCCCTCATCCCACAGATGACTTTTAAACATTTTGGGGGGTATGGGATTCTCTGTTGAAGTAAATTATTTGGATTGGAATTATGGGCATATTCAGGCTGAGGGGTGTAGATGCTGTTTCTGGTCTTAAAGAGATTGTATCGGATAGGGCGTATGGCTAGGTGGAAGGTCAGCCAAAGACAAGTCAAGTGCATTCAGTAACCAGAGACAGTGCATCTGAGGCAGATGGTCAGCAGGAACTGAAATCAGGTGCTATTATACTGTATCCATACCTTTTAGTGGATAAAGACAAGTAAATCAAACACCACAATAGTGATTCAAATGTAAATAAGTATGAATCATCACATTCTCCTAAGAGACCTTCCTTTTGGTTTCAATGCAGAATACTAAAATACATTTTTCAGAGGGAAATCTAATCTATGTTCCTTATGTTCTACTAATGCCAAAGAAAGGTATATGCAAAACCCCAGCTAACAGCAGTTATGAATAAAATTCTTTATGTGTCACAGGGAAAGTACTATCATGGAATAAATCAAAGTGAAGTATAGAAGACTGCAAATAAAAAGGAGTGGTAAGTGTGTGGGTGGGGAGGGTCACATGGGTGCAGTGGTGATGGAACAGGGGGACCTTAAATAATCGCAGTACAGTTACCCTTTGCAAGGAAAAATCACAGCTGGTAAATGCTCAGCCCAAAAGACTTTTCAAATTTCTAGGGGCTCAGCATGACCAAAAGAGAGACAATTTTGATTGCTCAGTTACACAACTTCTCTATCATCGCTTCTGGCGATGGAAGAAGCTATGCCATCTCAGTTGAAAAGCAGTGCAGGTTACTGATGTGGAAAAGAGAAAAAAGATGGCATTCTTCACTGCTGCTTTTTCAGTTTTTTCAAAACACCTGTGAACTCTGCACATAAAACTTTAACCAATTACCATAAAAAAATCACTTTTCCAAATTGTTAATCTCTACCTATGGTAACATAATGTTTATTATATCTAAACTACTTCTTTTAAAATTTTGCTCATTCTTTTTACCTCTAGCACTCAACATTCATTCGAACATTTATTAAGCCCTAACTAGAATTACCGTTTCCACTACCACACGGATACCACCACTACACTGACCACAGTGTTGAGAAGGTTGTGCTCAGAAAGTATATGCTGACGAATTGCCTTCCTTTATCTGATGTTCTTTAACATTACTTCCTAATCTTCTTTAATTTGACTGTGGACTTATACCCAAACAAATTAAAAGGATGATTTCTGGGTCTCCTCAGAAGGGATCACCTGCAAAGGTCCAGAAGCTTCCCACAAAAGAAGCTTACCAGCAAACAGCCAAAGCCATATGACTGAGCTGGAGATCACAGGACTCAGAAGGACTTAAAGTGATTACTGAGTTTTTGTTAATATTTTTTTTATATTTAAAGACACATTTCAATTTTTGTAGGGCGTAATCAGAAACTGCACAATTTTATTTTATATGTCAAAATATACACAAACATGTAATTAGTATTTATGCTGTTTAGGGATGTTTGCGGTGTTGGTGGATGTGTTCTCTACTCCTGGGAACCCTGAAGGTCAGCATCATAGGTGCTCTTCCATCAGTCACTACCAATTTCATCAGTTTCATTGGTAATAGGAGAGCCACTTATGAATATTTTCTTGCCTTGTTTTTGCAATCTGGTTATACTGTTGATATTCCTGGATTATGCATTTCTTCCCATTAACATCTTGAATGATATTTTATAACAAAACAAAACATCCCCTTCTCCCCCTTCAAAAAAACCAAAATTTACTTTGCATGGCCACATTAGCATTTTTACTCTAAAGAATTCAGCATGGCTTTAAAATAAATCAGCTCTGTGTAAAGGAATTTCTTTTTTCAGTTCTAATTCCTTCAAATTATAACTTCATAAAAAATTGTGCTGGGGCTAGGAAATTAGCAAAGATGGGATGGGATAGATACAGATGAGAATGACCAGGTTTTTAAAATCTTCTGGTGAAGGTTTTAAATGACACAAGTTTTGTGTTCATTAGTAAGGTGGCACTAGAGGCATTTAGCAGCATTTTATAGCAGTATTTTAACAGGCAGCAGTTTCTCCTCTTCTATGGGGAAACTTGATGCCCTCTTGTCTCCTGGTAGTTCTCAGTTTCGCAGGTTGATTTGGTGTGACCCTCATGGCTTTCCACAATGTCCCAATCTAATGCACTGGTCTTTCTTGTTAGTCACTCAATAAAATATCTTCCTTTATATTATATTTCTGTTTTCTTTTGCCTAAAATATCTGCTCAATAATCACCCTCTTCATTTCCTCTTTGGCCTCTTTTTGCTTTCATGGTTTATTGTTATGAGCCATGTAAGTCACCCTTATCCCTGTGCTTTTTGGCTCTAGGGTCAACTTGCCCAGGCACTTTCTGCACTTGATGCTGTGAGCAACATCTATAAATCTTCCTAAATCATGTCAAGAATGACTCCTACCCAGAGCATGGTAGAATGCAGATTGCTATTCTTTCAACGGTAAAGGCTGCAGAATTCCATGCTAAATCATTTATCCTAACTTGTCTTGTCCTCTCTGTTTTCATTCCTCAATAATATTGAATGTTTAGCTCAATTTTCTGTCTTGGTGATTCTCTTCAAACTCTCCTTCCTGCTGCTTTTGCTTATAACATAAAAATAAAATTAACTTGGTAAATTATAACAATGATATATGCTCATGGTTAAGAAAAAATCAAACAATACAGAAAGGTATAATGAAAAAAAGAGTCCCCCTTTAGCCACTCTCTGGCCCCCTGTCCCACTTTCCATAGGTAATTAACTCCTGCTGACCAATCTGGGTTTATATTTTGTGAAGTTTGCAATGCATATATGCATATGTTAATTTACAAGATATTCTCCTAGACTCCTTTCTTCCTACAGATAGTATTACATATTGTACTTGTTTCTTTTTTTATTCCTTTCTCTATTTTCCATATGACGCCTTCTTATCTGACACTTAGTCGTTTCACAATTATTTACAGAGCACCTACTGTGTGCCAGCACAGGGAGTTTCAAAGTAAAACAGAAATAGTTCTTGCCTTCATGAAGCTTATAGCTCTTCATCTTTTAATTTTTCTAGCATTAATCCTATATCCCTCTTTTGCTTAATCTTCTAACTTTGACTTGCTACTTATCATGATAATTATGTATAGAATACTTCATAATTGTGTGGATTTTTCTGTCACAATGGATGTGATGTTGGCCATTCTTTTGTAAACAATTTACAATCAAATTGGAATTGCATATGTGCTTCTGATTTTTTTTAGATTGTATCTTTGTGCAGTGTGATCATCTTTATCTTTAGTTTCAATATTCATTAGTTGATCAGATAACAACAATGTGTTTGCTTTTTATTTTGAGAAATCAAACATGTATGAAACTTTAAAAAGTTTGTGGAAAAATGGAATTAAAGGGCTGGCTCCGTGGCGCACTCGGGAGAGTGCAGCGTTTGGAAGCGCAGCAGTGCTTCCACCACAGGTTCGGATCCTATATAGGTATGGCCGGTGCGCTCACTGGCTGAGCGCGGTGCCAGCGACACCAAGCCAAGGGTTGTGCTCCCCTTACCAGTCACGAAAAAGACACACACACACAAAAAAAGGAATTAAAATACAAAAATAAAAAATATAAACTGTATTTCTCAACATAAGCTCCATCAAGTTCAAGACACTCTTGTAAACAATGAAACCAGCCATTTAGTCCATCCCTACAGAGCTGAGGATGCTAAGAATTTAACCATGTCAATGCAGCCTCTTTTACATTATTCACTCAAGAAAAATGGATGCCTTTTTAAAGGTTTTTAAGATTAGAAAACAAAAAGAAGTCAGAAGTAGCCAAATCAGGACAGGAAGGTGGATGCCTAATGATTGAATCAAAATTATGGCAAAATCACCCTTGTTTGATGAAAGAAATGAGCAGGAGCATGGTTGTGGTGGAGAAGGACTCTCAGGGGAGGTTTCCTGGGTGTTTTCTGGTAAAACTTTTGCTAACTTTCCAATAATAATAAGAAGAAGTTATCATTCTTCAGCTCTCCAGGAAGTCAAAAGGCAAAATGTCTTGAGCATCCCCCCAAAGTGTTGCTATGACCTTCGCTCTTGACTGGTTCGATTTTACTTTTGCTGGACCCCTTCCAGCTCTTGGTAGCCATGGCTTTGATTGTGCTTTGTCTTCAGGATCATACAGAAAAAGCCCATCTTTTATCTCCTGTTACAATTCTTCACAGAAATGCTTCAGGATCTTGACCTTGCTTGTTTAAAATTTCCATTGAAAGCTCTGCTTTTGTCTGCAGCTGATCTGGGCACAACAGTTCTGGCTCCCATTAAGTGAAGTTTGCTCCACTGTAATTTTTTAGTCAGAATTGTATAAGCTGAACCAACTGAGATGTCGATGGGGTGGGCTATTTTTTCTGCTGGCAATCATTGGTCCTCTTCAATTAGGACATGAACAACATTAATTTTTTCCTTGCAAATTGATGTGGATGGTCTGCCTCTGTGGCTTTCATCTTCAACATCTGCTCGTGTGTTCTACAAACGAGTTATTCATTTGTAAACTGCTAATTTCTTTGAGGCACTATCCCATAAACTTTTTGTAAAGCATCAATGATTTCACTTCTTCCACTCAAACTTTACCATAAACTTGATGTTTATTCTTGCTTCAGTTTTAACAGAATTCATGTTGCTCTGATATGGGCTCTTCTCAAACTGATGTCTTATCCTTCATAGTGCCTCAAACTAGATCCTGTTCAGACATGTTATAACAAATTAGTATGAGTTATTTTGGTGCAAAAAACTTTCACAATCCATGCATGATTTTTTCTTTTTTTTTTTCTTTTAACATTTTTTTTCTTTTGTCAATATACAATGCAGTTAGTTATTGTGTCCCATCACCGAAACCTCC